ATTATTATTCATGAGAGGAAAAAGAAGAAAAAAAGACATACAGGAAGCACAGGAGAACAGGCCAGATTCCACAAGCTTAGCACTAGGGAGTTGGATATTTATAAAACTAAATTCATAAAACATTCATAAAATGTGATATTAGTTACATTAAATCGTCTTTTTCTTCTACATTTTGTTCTTAACAACTAGGACACAACCACAAAATCTGAAATGATCTATTGTTTAGTACCTATCACAGCCATTATGTAAGCAAATACACCACAACACTTAAGATCACATGCTTGAATAATCAGGTACTAATTAAGTATATTTGCAATTGCCTTATTCCTTCCATTTCCTGACCCAAAACAGTAAATAAATAACAAAAATCTCAATCTCTAGCAATCAGATATAACCAAGCAAATAAAAGAACATACTCTTTCCTATGGGATAGTAAGTAGTAAGGTTTTATTTTAAAGTCTGGAGTACATCAGACTGATTTACAAAAAAATTCAACAAAACTTCACATGCTGTAATTGCAAAGACTTCAGAGAACATATCCATAATAAAATTCAGTGCCACCAATGGACCACGCAGTTTAACATACACAGTGAACTGGGGAGGCCAGCTCATGCAGTCAAACATTAAGATATGAACTTTTGGAAGGCCACACCAACGCACATTTACCCAAAGCTGGGCACCAGCACCATCACTGGAAGTTCCTAACAAACCTGCCAAAGAAATATTACAGAGAGACTATTTCTTCGTTCCATCTTACCATGTTTTTTGTAAGTCCTCTGAGGAATTGAATTAAGGTTTCACTTTTATCTGACTGAAGTTTAATATCATATGCTTTTAAGGCCTTTTAAAACACACTCAGGTTACTTCAGGCCTCAGGGAAGATAGTGTTAGTAGGCTCTTGAGAAAACGCTCTGCCAGCATTTTTGTTCTCCGCTGCAGAGAAGAAGGAACGACTTTAGGACTCCTACTGATTTCAAGTTACAGAAGCATGGTGCAGGAAGAGAAGTGTGCTAGAAAGCACTGACCCATAAAGCAGTTGGCAACCAAGAGACAACCTTAAGGCACACATCACTCATGAGAAGTCACGGGGTGCTCGGTGTGCACATCAGATACATGACAATCCCTGTAGATAAGTGCTCAAAAGCATAGCAAAATTTCCAGTGCTGTAAGATTATGCAAATAAATATTCCAAATATAATGAAGAGTTTTGACAGCACTTTTTCTTAAATCCTAACCTAGGAACAATCTGAATATGAGTATTTATATTATATATGCACAGAAGTAAAACGTGATTTACTTTTGTGGACATTCTTTTCACTGTTCAAGCTGTAAAACACTAACACCTCAAAATAAATAAATCAGGATTTAGTTAGAAAGTTGCAATAGAAATTTCAATTACAGACAGTAGCAAAGATTTCAGACTTCCATACCTTCAGATTGACAGCAGAGCCGTCAAGTACAAAGAACTGAAGGATAAAATTGAAACTTTTGAGGACACTAACTGCACCTAAGTCATTTTTCCACCCAATAATCAGAAAAGCTTATATATTTTCAGTATAAGTGACATTTAAACTAATGACTGCAAGAAACAAGAAGGGTAGTCAATTTGGGCAGGAGGAAAATCTTTATATCCTAAATGATAATTTCTGTAGTGAAATTCAGGAACGAAAGAACAGGCATTTAAATTGGCCTCACTGAACTGCAAAACACTGAAGACTGTTTTTAAGGCAGTGCTCGTATATGTGCATACACACACACACACGCAGAGTGCCCGGCTGAAGGTCAGTCTCCTGCATTTTACAGCTCCCTCCATCCAACCTTCATCCAGGCCTCACACTCTACCGTGTGCCAGACAACTACGGGATATTAGAAATCACAGGGTTTCAGAGACCCGCTCCCCGGCACGTACTAACCAGAGACAACAACCCTGCCCTTCCCCAGCCGCTCCGCACCAGCCCGGCGCGCACCACTCTCCTGCCCCGACCGCTCTCCCGGGAGCCGCCACCCCCTCCCGGGCGGGGCAAGCGCTCGGAAAACCCCACCGCGCCCGGGCCGGGACCGAGCACCGCGGAGAGCCGCGGGAGGGCAGGGCGAGCGGGCAAAGGCGATTTGCCGAGCAGGCCAGGCAGCCGCCCCCTCCGGCTGCCGGGGGGGCGAGCGGGGGCAGCGCCCACGGCCAAGCCAGGCCCGGCTGCCAGACCCCGCCGCGGGACGGGGCTGCGCTCGGTCCCGGTCGGGCGCTGGAGGAACGCCGGGGGTCCCTGCCAGAACCCCGCGCGTGGGAGCCGCGAACCGGGGCGAAAGGGCGCCCCGGCCGCCCCGCCGGCCCGAGGGCGGCGGGAGGCGAGAACCGGGGCCTCGCCGGGGACGCCGCACTCACCACTTGGTAGCGGCTGGCGGGCTGGTGGTGATCCATCCTGGCCCGGCGCGGCCGCAGCTCCTCCGACCCGGCTCCGCGTAGGTCGGTCCTTCTTTCCTTCCTTCCCCGACCCGTTCGCCCGGCGCCGCCGCCGCCGCCGCCCTGGCCCTGCCCCGCTGCGCCCGCCCCCGGCCCGCCCCCAGCCTGCCCCCGCAGCGGCGGAGCCGGCACAGGCACCGCCCCCTGCCCGGCCCGGCCCGGCCCGGCCCGCCGCGCTAACAGCGGCGTTCGCTCTCCCTGGGGTTGGGGGCGTCTGCACTTCTGCAGTTCTCCTCCTGTTCTGCTCCCCCTCCTACTTCTCCGCCTCCTCCTCCTCTGCGCGGCCCCCGGGAGTGGCGAGGAGGTGTCGTCGTCGTCGTCTTCTTCCCTGTCTCTTCAGCTCAGCTCTGTCCTGTCAGGCTGCTGCGTCGCAAGCCCAGGGCCTTGCCCATGTATTTATCACCACGGGGCGAGAAGAAGTACGATATGGCACAGAAGGCATGTTGAGGACCCGGAGAGAGATTTTTAATAGGCATCTACCTAAAGTAATGAAGGGTCGTAAGCCCGTTTGCCTAATGTTCTTGTGAAGGCAAGGCACCGTTTTGTGACAAGAAAACGTGATTTTCTTCTCTCTTCCTCTTAAAACTCTAAACGTTTAGATGCTTATGACCTCCTGGAGTAAAACCAGTACAAAATGCCTTCACCCATAAAGGTGTATCAGAGGAGGCTGACTCATTTCTAGGTTCTCAGTTTGCCAGATGTGTAGCTGTGGTAGGCAATAATTTCAAAATAGCCATAGATGCAGCTCTTGGCAGCAGCGGAGTGTTTGCCTGTGATGCAGCATAACTGATCTGCAAGGCAGATACTGTCATGAAAGTGGCTTCTCGCTCTCACTAATGGCCAGCACACAGAACTTTACCCTGCAGCCCAGGTCATCACCTCTACGTAGGCTAATTACTAGCGTGGAGGCTGACCTGAGCAGCAGGGTAAGGTGGTGGTGTGCAGGCAGTCATCACTGATGAGCAGGCTGAGGTCTTGAGGGAGTGAAGTCCCAATATGTGTGTGTAGGAGGGCAGGGAAGTGGAGAGTGAGCTCGCAGTTATGTTTCTAGATGGGGGTGGAAGTGAAGATAGACAGGATTATAAGAGAGGAGGCAGTGGAAGTGTGAGACTTTGTGTGTGTGCCTGGGACCTTGCTTGCAGCCCATATCTAGCTAATGCAGCAGTTACTAAAGCTATTTAAAAAAAAAAAAATCTTGGAAATTTCGGGCCTATCCTGTTTGTTGCGTTTGTTATGTTCCTGTTGCACATCAAAAGCTCTAGTAGTTAGGAAACAAAGTTGGCATAGAAATACAGGTTAGAAATGGATTAATGCTATTATTTTCCTAACAGGATTTTCTCCTTTTTCCTCTTTAATTCTATACATAATGAATGCTTCTATGTTTAATTATTCTGTCTTAGAAGGAACAGTTATTAGTAAAGGTCATCTTGAGTTTAAGAAAGTTTGTACAGAGTGTTGCAGTGTGCTTCAGCTACCAAATAGAAGGAAATCTCTTAATTATATTGTCAGATTTCATGGGATGTGAAAATTGGACCATTCATGTAATCAGTTTAATCAGTTTAACTTCTAGTATCTTCTATATTGTTAGCAACGAGTATCTCCAAAGTAAACTGTTTCTCAAGTGTTGCATGTGACATCTCAGCCCATCAAGTTGTCACCTGATCTCATGGTTTTTTAAATGTTGTATCTCAGCTCTGTGGAATACACTGTCCTAGAAACTCCAGCTTGGACTCTAGTTAACAGCTGCCAAGTGGAATTTGAGTCTGCAAATGTTGGAATACAATTGCATAAGCATTTATTAAGATGCAAACTTCAGCTCTGAACTTGTGCAATTCATGTCTTAAGGGAAGAAAGGGCAGTTGGCAAGAACCAGAATGTATTTAATAGGGAAATTAGAAAATATTCCATAGTGCTTGGTAAAAGAATCAGTAGAGGCAGGGGTAGATTCAACAGAGATACTCAAGTTGTGTGTGGAGAGGGATTTTCATACTTAGGGACAAATTTTGGGAATATTATCAGTGTACTTATGGGACTTATATCAAAACAAGTCATGTGACTACTTTAGGCTTTAAATATGTCCTTCTTTGGTTCTTATTCTTTATGGAACATTTCAGGGTTTTTTAAAGCTATGTAACTGTATATATGTCATTGTACTGATAACAGGCTAAAGGAGGAAGGTCATGCATTTCTTTTTAATCTTGTATTTTCAAAATAGTGTTATCTGTATATTTTAACTGGTTCCAAAGGTTTTGACTACGGCATAATATTAATCTATAATGCAAAGTAATTGGCAAGCACTACGGCTCCTTCAAATCAAAGAACCACAGAATCAAAGAATGGTTGATGTTGAAAGGCACCTCTGGAGGCCATCTGGTCCAACCCTCCTGCTCAAGCAGGGATACTTAGAGCAGGCTGCCCAGGACCAGAGGGGTTTTGAATATCTCCAAGGATGGAGACTCCACAAGCTCTCTGGGCAACTGAAGTCAGTGCTCAGTCACCATCACAGTAAAAAAAAGAAAGTGTTTCCTGATGTTCAGAGGGAGCCTCCTGTGTTTCAATGTGGGCCCATTGTCCTGGTTGTGTCACTGGGCACCACTGAGAAGAACCTGACTCCATCCTCTATGCACCTTCCCTTCAGGTATTTATACACATTGATGAGATCCTCTCTGAGCCTTCTCTGCTCCAGGCTGAAGGGTCCCAGATCTTGGAGACTTTCCTCAGGAGAGATGCTCCAGTCCCTTCATCACCTTGGCGGCCCTTTGTTGGACTGTCTCCGGTAAGTCCATATCTCTCTTGTACTCTCTTGTACAGAATAGATATTGAATGTAAGAAATGTCTCTTTGAGAACTTTTAGGACATTATTACTTAGATGAACAAGTCCTGTTGACTAAAACACTTTAATGCTAGTTTTAAGATTTACTTTTTCAGTTTGACCTCATTGAACCTTAAGGGCCTACAATGACAGTAATGGTTAGCACTGTTTTCTGGATCCTGCAGAAAACTGGGGTTTTTTTCAAAGAACTGTATTTAAAGAAACAGAAATAGTGTTCTAAATAGCATGTAGTCAAAACAGTTTCAAATTTACATTTAAAAGAAAGTATGCTTCAGATTTCTTTTAGGAAAAAATACGCTTAATTGCTGTTAGTCAGCAAGTTTACAACAGTTTAAACTTTGCTCCACTATGAAAATGAGCCAAGAAAAGAATCTTTTGGTAATAACAGTTCTTGCAAGCACAGTTCTGTGGAAAGTTGACTTGAAGGACGGGATCTGAATTCGCACAAGTCTGAATGTAATTGCACAAAGGCAAGCAGTGCAGGACTGTTAGCAATTTTAATCTTGTTTTTAATTCATTATTCAATCAGTGGCCATCAAATAAGAAAGCAATCTTTACATTTATTCACCTGTATAAGCCTATTCAAATTTTTAAAGTTTCTTATGGAACTAGGTTAATTTTATCTTAATAAACATACATAAAACCAATACTGCGTATTTATACTATTCTACAATTTTGTACTGTTTTAACTAAATATTACACTTACTGTCATGTTTTGCTTGCTGTACTGTATAAAGAATTTAAACTAAAAGCTATACATTCCTATCCAAAAAATTAAAAAAAGTAAAATTTTGGGGTTTGTAGCTTTGTGTTACATCTTTACCATGTGTTGTTAAACCGCTAATGCAGATGATGTCGGTGGGAAATAAATTAGGATTTTTTCCTGATGTAATTCTAATGACATGAATGTACCTAATTTACTTACAGACAGACCTGAAAGCGGACTGTGAATTTACTGACTGTATTTATTTTCTCACTGTTTTCAAACTCCTTTCTTAACCTACTTGGTTTTAATTCCATGTTCTTGGTTATGTAAACTGCATAAAATTTGTGATCTCTATGTGGGCTTAGATAGTTTCTTTAAGCAGAAAGTTGGCTTAAACAAAAAACTGGAACTGAATTTCTTAGTAAGAAACAGCAGGAGGTTGGCTTGGTTTTCTTCATCTTTTCTCCTCCTTTTTTAGGCAACATAGGCAATGCCAGAGCCATCATTAATAGGAACACTGAGCTACTTTTAAGATTTCATAGCTGAATACAGATTTTTGATTACATTGCTGTCATCTTTGTTCAGTGTCTATACACATGTATATAGTCTTACAAGTCTGTTTTTTGGGTATGTCCAAACACCATGCAGATATATCTGAACAAGCTCTAAATGTCATTACTGCAACACAGAGCTCAGGTTGGGAAACATCTCAAATATTTGCCTTGGTCTAGGACAGATTTTGCAGCCTGCATGGATCTCTGTACTGCCACAGCTATTTCCTGTTAAGTCACAGAGACAGTTTTGAACTAGTTCAGGTATATTCTGACAAGCTCCTCATAGCTGTGCATAGCACAGCTGTACGCTTAAGCTGATAGCATAGATCTCTTTGTCTCTGTTGTCTCTCTTACAACTTAGATTAATTACCTTTGCTGTTCACAAGCATGGTTAATGCAGGAGACCATAGAAGTGAAGTAACATCATCTTCCAAAAAGGCATAGCTGTGCTTCAGACAAATTCAGTGAGCCAATGCTCACATTAGCAGCAGTTACAGCTTCTTCAGTTCCGCGCAGCGGTTTTTCAGGGAAAAAAAGAGCATAATGAGCTGCCACTGCAAGATGATTGCTTAGCCAATTTTGTGGAGTAAGCTATGAATCTAGAGGAAATGGTACGGAGTCCATAAATAAAGACTGAGGCAGTGTCTTGTCTTCAGAGTGCTTGTCTCTCAGAGCGGATTCTTCTTAAAAAGTTGTATTTCCACATAATGTGACACAAACTGGATTTTGTTATGAAGAATGAATGCAGAGGCTGCCAGTGTTTCACACAGGTGGCAGAGGAAGGTCTAACAGTGCGTAAGAAGCATCTGTGAAGTCCCACCTTTTCGGAGAGGTACGTGTACTTTGAGAGAAGTCAGTTCAAAGCAGAAGAATCACAGGAGTAAACACATCAGTGTGTATCAGTTTGAAGTTGTTTTCATTAAAACTAATTTGTCTCTTAAAAATCGATGAATTTATAACAATTTTTAAAAATCCTTTGTAAAATAATATAATCATTTAAATATTTGTGTGTAATGAACACTGATGGTGGACACTACCTAAAAAATCCCTAAATGTAAAAGCTGAGAAGTAACTAGAATTTTTTTAAAATTTATATGGCCTAGCTTTTTCAGTGTGTTTTCAGCTACAGATCTGATGTTAAACACCTGATCTTGACAGTTGCCAACATGTGCTGTTATGTAAACATACAGTGTTTAAAAACCAAAAAAATCCCCATATGGCTTTCAAGTTTCTGTTTAACAAGTGGGGTTGAATGGAATGTGCAGAAGTCAATCAGAGTCAATAAAAACAATGACAGTAAAGTTGAAATACAGAATAAAGAATGTAAATACAACAAACTGTGAAGGAATGTGGGAAATATGTGAGCAAATACCTCCAGTTAGAAAACAAAGAACAAGAAAACAATCCCCAAACCCTTGAGATATGTTGGGGGAAAAAAATAGAAGAAATGGTAGATAATATAGACTTCTGCAGGCTTAGTGCACTGAGAGTCAATACAGATGCAAGAAGAAATCCAATGCTGTTATGAAGTCTTATTTGGACAAGACATTTCCATTCTTATCTTGGCAATACTTGTCATTTTTGTAATAAAAGTAAGGTATGATTAAGTAGAAAACAGTTATAATATGTATTCCTTAGGGAAAAGGATATTCAATCCATTAATCCATTTATCTGAAAGCTATGTTGTTTTTAAATTGGTTGTATGCAAAAAAAAATCTCAACAGTTAAGGCCTTGATGCTCTCTGAAAATCATTTTGTAATAGAATTAGAAGAGGAAAGACCAAGTAACTCCATGCTCTTGCAGTGCCAATATTACTTTAAAGTATTAATTGCAGTGCATGGTTTCTGTCCTACAGGAAGAGGGGAGCTGAATATATATTCATGGTAAGTTACTGTTAGGTCATGAAGTCTAATGTTGTTGGCATTTCTCCTAACACTTATAACACAATATAAAAATCTATTGGAAAAAGATATAAAATGAAAATTGTCTTTTCAGTATCAAAATTACGCTGATCATTCAAATTAGATGTGCTGTGACACTGCCCTGCACAGCACTGACAATGGTTATGTTCTAAATAACTTTCAGTCTGTTCATCATTGTGTGTGTTATCCATATATAGAGCTCTTGAGCAGGCCTTATGCCCAAATTGATTTTCTTCTATATAAAATAAAGCTCTGTATAAATTACTTTATTAGGAACCACCCTTTTATTCTATGTTTGTGATGCAACTGCATTAAAAAACATAGTGTTACAGTGCTGTTGAGCTGTTACACTGGCTCCTTGTAATGCTAGCTTAGTCTCCTTTGAACATAAGTCAAAATATAAACAGAAACGGAGCAGAATATAACAGAAATGTTGTTAACCACCATATCATCAGCCAGACCTATCCAGCTGCAATGCTAACTCAGCCTAAATTCTATCTAAGGCCCAATGCCTTGAGTTTCCTATTGAGTAAGCATTCTGCATCTTGGTTCAAATGACTCTTCAAATGATTTTTAGAGGATTTATGATGTACATAGTTTTTACCTATTAGCTAGCCACATAAGCTTAGGTGGCATGTGAATATGACCACTTACCTCAACAGATACTTTGTTAAACGTGGAAAAAAAATGTTCTTTTTTCACTAGTCCCGCATGCTAGCAGTCAAACAACATTGTGTTCCACTCTTAGAATACAGTGTACTATTTCAGTTAGAGGCACTTGCCTAAATTTTATCCAGACGCACCTCAGGAACTAACAATGTGCAAAACATATAGTCAAAACTGTAATTAAAATTGCTCAAGTCTTTTCCATACTCTTGTTTTCAAAAGCATGTAGCTCTCTGGAAAAAATGCCTAGTTTAGTGAATCTGAGTGGAAGTGTCCATCAACATCTGAGCTGACCCAGGCCTCCAGTGGCAGAAAGGAAAAATAAATTTGGAGAAATAATCTTCAGTGGTGATTTCCTCTGAAACCAGCTTTTGTTCAATTGTGTGGGGTGTGTAGGTAACTTCAGGCATGATATTTCAGCATTCCTGCCAATTTTGAGACAAAAAAGGCAGTGCTATGTTTGAGTGTCTTAAATGCATTTGGGAATGTACAGAAGTGCTCTAAACAATCAGTTCACTAAGGGTTTGATGCTTCATGTGGTGATATGAGTTCAGCTAAATGAAAGGAGGAATCCTTATCTTGAAATATTTGTCAGCTGTGCTGCCCAGATTTATTCTACTACAGAGCAGTTAGCTCACCAGATGTTTGTATCAGATCCAGATATCTAGATATTTTTATAGTGAGTGGAGAAAAACAGGCATTTTCATGATGCAATTCATCTCATTTTAAGGTAAACACTCCTGGTCCTCTCACTGGGCACCACTGAAAAATGTCTGGCCACCTTTTCTTTATTCCCTCTGTTCAGGTATTTATACACATGGATGGGATCCTCCTCAGCCTCTCTTGTCCATGCCCAACTGTCTCAGCCTCGAGGAGTCAACAAGAAAATTTTCTTTCCTGGACTTGATACTTACAAACAAGGAAGAATTGGTCAGGGATATGAAAGTTGGAACAGCCTTGGCTGACTGGCCGTATGACCACTGGGGTCACATAATCAAAGAGAATACAGGAGGAGGAGTATCCAAAGAGGAGGAAACAGGGCAAAAATCAGGGCCACAAGTCTGCATTTCAGGAACTCAGACTCCAACTTCTTCAGAGAGCTTCTTGGAATAATCCCATAGGATATGACCCTGCAAAGAAGAAGGGTCCAGGAGAGCTGGTTGATATTCAAATATCACTTCCTTCAAGCTCAAGAAAGCTCCATCCCAGCAAGTAAGAGATCAAACAAAGGCAGCAGGAGACCTGCATGGATGAGCAAGGAGTTCCTACATTAATTCAGACATAAAAAGGAAGTGCACAAGATGAGGAAGATGATAAGTGACCCAAAGAGTAGTCAGAATGTATCTTTAATAAGGGTATATTTGTCAGAAAAATAGCAGAAGGTTCTTCATCTCGGTGCTGGAGCTCATTTTATTTTATTTTATTAGGATATCTCATTTGATTAGCCCCTTCTATCTGGAAAGTTGAGGAAAAGAATACTTAAGGGCTAATTTTACTCACCACATAATAAGTGGAAAGAGAAGAAAGAGGGAAAGAACATTTAAGGGTTTTATTCTAGGTATAGGAGACAAGCCTTCTGTACTTCTGGAACTTTATTCACATGACAGCCATATTCTCTTGGAGGTGAAAACCTTGCGGGCATCAACCACCGTGCAAGTTCTGCAGTGTGGCCGTAGCAGAAATAAAAAGAAACACAGACCAGGTGTGTATCTCAGAAAAAAGAACGACTGACTGAGGATCAGGACCATGGCATGTTACAGCCTTAAGCCTGTAATTACACTAATAAGAATTAAATGAGCTTATTTCTGTGACACTTGGAATCCTCTGCAGTGGGAGCTTGCAGGAGTGCTGGATTATGTGCTGACAATACTGTTATAAGGCTGTTTGCACTGACAAATATAACAAGAAGCAACATGGTGGGGACTGAAAATGGAAGCCTCTGTAAAATCTGTAGACAATATTAAGTCTCAGAAAGAAGAGAAGCCACCAGACAAGGAGAAACAGGTGAAAAAGAACTGGCAAGAACCTTTGGAAACTTAGAAACCAACAGATGGGAGAAACCATATTGCCTAAGATGCTGGCTGATACTTTGAGAGAGTTTGACCGGAACTAAGAAATATAGCCAAAACCAGGTATCTGATATATGTAGAACATACTGTACATAGTAGATTTTGACATAATATGAAATTTTGAACCAATGAATAAGGAGAAAGCAAACTGTGTTAGCAAGTACATAATAATGGCACTAAGCAGACCCAAGAGCAAGGAGGAGGAAACCATTGACACCAATATCCTATTTTCAGTAAAGAGAAGTAAAAAGCTGCCCTTATCACACCATGAATGATTTGCAATGACACCCTCCCCTCCTAAGCAGAAGCCATCAACCTTAGGACATGATCTCTCTGTCACCAGTGTGACAGTGGAAGGGTGAGCTTACCATAGAAAGGGACAATTACTATAAAGTTTGAATATTTTGATTTTCACTATATCATTACAGAGATGAGCTGTAATGTTTGGATTATTTGGAGTATAATTGATTTTATTGTTGTGTCTAGATTAATAATAATTCTTTGATTATACTATCAAGACTTTAATTAGACTAGCAGTAAATTCCCCGTTCTTCACCCACATAAACTTCACAGGTTGTATTGCACCAAATTGGCAGGGGTGACCTAAGCTGTAATTTAAATGTAACAAATTAGTAATAAGTTTATAGAAAACCTAGTTTGTGGGCAACCTAGGTTCTTAAGCCTTGGTGCAACTACAAACTCTTTTGATTTGATTTCCACAGACTCTAATGGGAGTTGGGGCAGCAATCTCATCTATAGGCATCTAGCTATGCCCTGTGCACCTACAGAAAGAAACCAAATGTGTGTTTTGACATTCTCATTGTATAACTGAAAAGATCCCGGGTACCAGCACTAAATTCATGGATGCTAAACGCAACAGTCAGCATCACAGAATCACAGCTTAGTCACAGAATCATAGTATGAGACATGCAGAAGTCAACCAGTTTAGAACTCTCTGCTCAAAGCAGGCCCAGTAAGGTTAGGTTACTCAGGCCTTGCCCAGTCAAATTTTGAATATCTCCAAGGATGGAAAGTCTGTTTCAACTGGAGTCCACATTAACTCTGTTCTCTTGGTTGCCCGTTAGAAGGACTTCTCTGCTAACTTTAGACAAGGGTTAATGAAACACTGAGGAACTCAATGTATAATCACTGTTGCGTGTGTCATCATATGTGAATCGGTGTCAGGGAGAGGATGCTGGTCTAAATGTTTGTGGGTTATTTTGTCTGACTCAGTCTAGTTATAATGCTTTTATACAACCTCAATTTTCTTCCTCCTTCAGCAGTTTTTGGAGATACAGTCATAACTCAGACGGAGGAAAGCTCCTCTCATATAAACTATTCATATATTTTTTAGCAGAAGAAGCCAATGGATGCAAAAAAAATTGGAATCATACCAAGGCATGCATATTTATAGCACCAGATGTTTGAATGAACTGGAGGACCCTTAACTCCATCTGAACCAGATGCTGATATGTGGTGGGTTGACCTTGGCTGGATGCCAGGTGCCCACCCAGCCACTCTATCACTCACCTTCCCAGCTGGACAGGGGAGAGAGTAAGATGGAAAACAACCCATGGTTGGGATAAGGCAGTTTATTTAAAACAAAACCAAAGCAAAAGCTTCTGCGTGCAAAAGCAAAGTGAAAGATAACACGGTTTATTCTCTACTTCCCATGAGCAGTGATGGTCACCCACTCGTGAGAAGCAAGGCTTCAGCACACATGGTGGTTCCTTAGCAGGCAGCCATTGGAGACAATGAATGCCTGTCTTCCTGCTCCTTGCCTTAGCTTTTATATCTGGTCAGTTTGGGTCAGCTGGTCTACCTGGGCCCCCCCTAGGATCTTACCCTCGATTAAGGAAGGAATGTTACAGTGCTAATGCTCAGCAGTAGCCAAAACACTGGTGTGTTATCAACAGCCTTCTAGCTACCAATGCAAAGCACAGCACTGTGAGGGCTTCTGGGGGGAAATGAACACCATCTCAGCCAGACACAGTACACCATAAGAACAAAGCAAAGAGGGGAAAAAAAGACAGCTTTTCAGGCTTTTTTTTTTTTTTTTTTTTTTTTCCAAAAAAAAAAAAAAAAAAAAGGTACTGCTTAAAGAGGAGATATTTGCATTGTGGGAGTTTAGGAATCTGTCACAGAATTATCTTCTACTAATTCTGAGAAGGCTGCTTATCACAAGGGTACAAAGTTCAGATTTAACAAAGGACAAAGCAGTATGGATTTCTGCTGTAACTTGTTACTTTGCTGTTTCTAAACATTATACCTGACTTATATTACTGAGAAATGTAGTGATTCATACATTAGAATAATAGCAAAGGAGTCAGAGAGAATAATAGTGAGGCAGTCAGTATTCAGGAATTCAGTGCTGGTATCCCCTATTTTTGAAATTGAAGAGGCTAATACCATAATCTCTTATACTACTTCTCTCCAAATCTGGCTGCCAAATTAATATTTCCAATAGATCAAGTTGCTAATTCATTTCACTATTAGTACTGTTGCCACTAAAGGTGAGTAATTATATTGAGTACCCTTTAGAATTGGTTTACGTGATCACCCTCTCACAACCAGGCTATAAGAGCTCTTAAATCTGAAAGACTTAGATTAAATACCTATATCAAGAAAAAAAAACCACTTCCAATGCAAAAAACAAGTCACTAAGGCAAAGATGACAATGAGTCAGTCTATCGATGGTCCCAATACTAAGTGACTGGCTTATTTTCCCACAGCATGAGTAGGAAAAAAACAAACCACTCTGTGGTGACTAGGCTTCTTGCATTCTTCATGTCTTCAGTACCAAAGTCTGGCAATATTGAGGACACAAGCACAGTCCCAACAGACACTGTTAACTAGAATATGTCTTAAATATGTGTACTATGCGCATCACAGCTGGAATATTCATAGACAAGTGCTCCAATATGGTTCTTCAGCAAAATAAACAACTATATGTTGACTTTGTATTGAATGTCATGCGTAGTTCAAGATTTGAAGAATCTGCCTCCAAATCCGTGACTTATTTATGTCCACAATAACCAGGAAAAGATGCAGATCTTAAATCACTCTGCTGTTTTCACAAAATGAAGCAAACAAAAATGACTGTAATGCTTGTGATTTTTGAATAATCCCTTCATGATTCAATATCTCTTTCAAAATCTAAAATCTGCTACAATTTAATCTTCTTTTTACTTCAAAGTGAAATCTAATTTTCTCTCATAGTAGCACACAAGCAATGATACAAACTGACCAACTTCCCATTATGAGACTGAAACAGAAAAGTATCCAATGTGGAGGCCCTCAGCACCAGTTATCTTGTCAAGAGGGTGGCAATGGGTGCAAAAAGTGCATAAATAGAAGTTATTTGGTGCTTTATGAAAGCACAGAGTTAGTTTACTAAGGCCATAGGAGAATCTTAAATGTCTGTCTTAATTTTAAGATAAATAAACACATGTTGTTGACAGCAATGAGAGATTAAGGTTATTTCTTAATTCCAGGTAAATACAGTGAAATTGCTATGAACTTTGCTATAGAAAATTCATAAATGCACAGGAATGAAATCTTCCTGAAAAACCATTTCCTTCCTGTAAACTCCTATGGAACAAAAGTGTAAATCCTGCAAAAGCTCTCATTCACCTGAATGGGGTACTTAAAAAGAAAAAAGGATAAAAACAAGGTTATGTAGCAGCTAACTTTAAGGGAAAGTATGTTTTCCCTGGCTACCTCAGAAGAGCTACTACATTGTCTGGCATTCTCCTGAAGCAGTGTCCTTGTCTGAACAGAGGCTGGATGAAAGCTCTGGCATTGCATTTTATCAGAGGGAGGCACAAATGCTGAAGATGTGCCAAAGTACACATTAGTATTTGATTTTTTAAAAATACCATTGTGTCCAAAGCTAAAGAGCAAATACAACTTTATATCTTGGTACAATAACATGTTGTCACTTCAGCAAAGTATGAATAATTGATCCAGTGAGTCATTATAATTTCTTTTTAAATTAATCTAGAGTAAAATAATAGTGCCTTTTGCAACTACAGCTAATACCACAGTAGTAGAACTTCCTATGCTTAAAACAAGCAAGGCTAAACTAAACACCTCTGAACCGTAAGGGCCAGATATGTCCCTGCGTGTCCCTAACTGCTTTCATATGCTCAAAGTCATGAAACAGCTTTAAAAACACGATTCATAAATACCAATGAAATAAATCCTCAGGTGTCATCGAGCTCCTATATTGCTCCAAACCTTTTTTTTTGGAATTATTATTTTCTGGAATAGAGTTTCTACCCCATGAATCAGAACACAGATTACTGGAGTTTAAAAAACATAGCCATAAAATAACTTGTGGCAGTTACTAGACTTGTCCCAGTTCCTGGGAAAGTAAGGCTGGATGACTGCAATTATTTCCTTTTATTGTCTCCCTCTGCCTAGTTGTGCTACACAGCTTACCAAACCAATTGGAAATAGTAGATTAGAAAGAGATAAACAAACAACCTCAGGCCCACCATTTTCCCATCATTTTAGTCTCTAGGTGAGGGTCATCTGAAATTCCCTGGGACGGTCAATGCATATCCCAGGGAATGGGATATGTCTTGGAATACAGGGCTGGCTGAACTTAAGGAATAGCTCAACTTTTTGTGGTGTCTGAGGGCATCTATCTGAGAAACCTGAGGGCCTTTGAAATGGCAGTTGAAAGTTAAGGAAAATGAACTGATCTTTTGTATCTTTTCTGTCTAATTCTCTTCCTTCTCCCCACCCAGCTCAGGAATCCCACAGAGCAACCTCATAAGAAATGAAGAAGGATATCACAGGATCAATTCATTTTTTTAATTGATAAAATGATCTTTCTGAAATAATTTTTTTAAAAGTTTTTAAAGTTTAAAAATGGATAGGCTAGCTTAAATTTTCACAGAAACAAATCATTAATAAGTGAAACAGAAACATGGTGACAACAAAGGCACAACAGATGAGTAAAATACTGTATAGATCCACTAAGAATGTGCTATAACAAGAAAAAAGACCAGACAAATAATGGGTGATTTTATCTTATGCAGATACAGGAGGAAAGGTGTGTAGGAAGGAAGAATATTCTGGAAAAAAGTCTGTTATGCCTGCCTTTTTCCCAGATCTAGCAGTTACCAAGTAAGTTAAAGTCTCTCTCCCACATGTTGAGAGACATTTGTCCCACACAAATAGAAATGTTGCCGCATTTCTATTTATGGGTGGATTGTCACGAAAATCATAACACTATTTCCACACATATTTTAAAAAAACAAACAAACAGTAAACTTTAGAGGAGATAGAGCAAAAGATCAAGAATACTGAGAACAGCCAGGACTTGAGCTGTCAGTCTCTTTTTTAGCCATTATCTTACTGTGTTGGAAAATAGCTTTTTTCCTGGGATTTTTTTGGACAATAAAGTATCAGAGAAACTTAGAATGGTTTTGGTTGGAAGGAACCTTAAAGATCATCTAGTTCCAACCCCCTTATTATGATCAGGGACACCTTCCACTAGACCAGGTTGTTCCAAGCACCATCCAACCTTGCCTTGAACACTTCCAAGAATGGGGCATCCACAACTTCTCTGGGCAACCTGTTCCAGTATCTTTCCACCTCTCTCAGTGAAGAATTTCTTCTTAATACCTAATCTAAACCTTCTCTCTCCCAGTTTAAAGCCATACCCCCTTGTCCTGTCACTACATCCCCTTCTAAAAAGACTCTCTCTGTCTTTCTTGTAGGCCTGTTTCAGGTGCTGGAAGGCTGCCCAGAGCCACCTTTTCTCCAGGCTGAACAACACCAATCCTCCCAAGCTCTCCTCACTGGAGAGGTGCTCTATCTCTCTGATAAACTTCATGCCCTCCCCACCCAGGACTTGCTCCAACCAGTCAATATCCTTCCTGTGGATAGAACTGGATGCAGTGCTCCAGGTGGGATCTCACCATAGCAGAGTAGAGGGGCAAAATCACCTCCCTTGCCCTGCTGGCCACGCTGCTTTTGATGCAGCCTGGGATACAACTGGCTTGCTGGGCTGCAAGTGCACTGTGCTGGATCGTGTCCAGCCTCTCATCCACCAGCACGCCCAAGTCCTTCCTGCAGGGCTGCTCTAAATCTGTTCATCCCCAGCCTGTATTGATACCAGGGATTGTCTTGACTAAGGTGCAGCACCCTGCCCTTGGCATATAATAACCTTGCATTTGGTCCTATAATATTTCTTCCTGGAATCTGACTGGGTTGCAATCAAGTATTACTGAAAATTAAACCCCATGGACAGTAATTACACTAGTCTAATAGCATCTACCTCCCAAGCATTTAATATTTAAGGAATATCCATAGCTTGCATTATTCATATTGACTTCTTTTCTATATTAGATATGTAGAGTTTACAGATGTGCTTTACATATTCAAAGTTATAAGTTCAAAAGTTACTTTGAAAAATTATGATGCCAGCTGGTGGCCACTTAACTTGTGTCTGTCAGAATACTAATAAGGGAAGTTAACTGTAAACCTGTGAAGCAGTAAAAGGGAGTGAAAAACAGCAACAACCAACCTTTGGCACAATAAAGAATGGGAACTTAACTGGGTTGCTCATAAAATATAGTGTTTTAGAGGAATTCCATTAAAGATAGGGATATCATAATAATATTAGTAAAATACACTTGTGGGGTTTAAAACTGTAGGAACATTATAGCTGATCTTGACACAAACAAGGAGGCCATCAGATGATATGTCAAGTGAAATGATAACAAGTAGCATTTTCATAAAGGCTGGAAAGAACAGCTGAGAACTGATATGCCTCACAGATCATATGTCTTTGGAAAAAGAATCTCTGGCAGATGAGAGGCCCAGGGTCAGCCTTGGGTTCGGGTTAGCCCTGGCCTCAAGGTTGCACAAAATGTCCCACTCCCTCCAGATCTTGCTCCCAAAATCTGCCAATAGTAGATGCTCAGAGAGGGGGGTAAGAACAAGATAAGCATATAGTGACACATCACAGGATAATTCCCCAAGTCCCAGCAGCCTGTTGCTTGCAAAACATATGCAAGTCTTTGTATTTAACAATTCCCATTGTTTTTCCTTCAATACATTTGTTCATTGCTTTTTGAACTCCTATGACATTTTAATATTCCAGTGCCACATGGCCAGGACTTCTACATTGTGTGAAGAAGTATTTCCTTTTCTGAAACCCTTTACTAGTTTTTTTCAAAATAGACAATCGGCAGTTGATCTCTACTCTCATTCTCCACCCTACTTATGTAGACTGCTATTATGTTTCTTTGAGTCTTCTTTTATTTTCAGAATATCACAAGTACAGAAGAGTTCCACCAGCTCTTTAGATATGTTAATAATATAGTTATGATGGAAGATATATAAGATGTGGAAAAAATAATTATTGGATTTGAACAAAAAATTTAAGATCAAAAAGTAGAAGAAACTTATTATTGTAAGCTGACAAATTATATTAGCCACCAGCCTGTAAACATAAATATCAGTAAGTTAAAAGTAACTTAAATGTCTACAAGCATTAACTGAGAATTCTTTGGGAACAGAGTAAACTAAGGCGTGGATGCAAAGGTAGAATGCTTATAATTATTCTTCAGATAATTTCAGCACCAAAAATTAATTTTTAAATACTTTCTATATAAAAGATACTTAAAAGCATTGGTTTTTACAGATGGAACATTTGAGTAAGAAAGATAATTCAATATATTATAAAATTTAGTATCTATTTATATTTGGGTTAGTGTATTTTGTTTTTCATTAAATTTATAGGGATGTAATTGTCATTTGAATTTTCCATCCCTTCTTTGAGAATACCTTGAAATAGTAAATAGGTTCAAAAGGAAGAATACACTCAAGTGTCATTTTCATAGGAAATAGGCTGGTTTCTCTTTCCCTAAACATTTTACACTTTGAGTTTTTGAAGGATCATCACCTCTCTAGGACCACTGAAGACTCTATGTTCTTTAATG